AATATACTAAATATATATAGTAAAATCTAAATACATGCATAACTACTGGCTACCTAGCTCCGTAACGTATTCTTGTTTGGGTGTGTGGTCGCATTGTGCACATCTCGTATGACCCCCCCTGTTATTAGGGTTCGTGTAACCCCGTTACACCCTCCTCCATTAAGATAGAAAACATTCACAGTTCCAATCAATTCTTGCCTCATCGAGGCTCGCGTGTCCGTTAGACACTGCAACTCATTTTGTTTTTACAACTCCCTTGCTCGACGAGTCCTTTGTCCGGAACACGAAAACCATCAAGTCTCGCTGGTTCAGACAGCGAGCACGGGTAGAGCCCAACTTCGTCCCCCGACGCGTTGCCATGTTGGGCAGTGCGTCCGCGGCACCAAGGGGTGTATATCCTAGGCTCGATGAGCACAAACGTCGCGCTCCACGCACGCTTTCAGTGCCTAGTGGCCTCGTTGAGGATGTAGTCGACTATGAGTCTGACACCTCTTTTCCCGCATGGGATGACGAGGAAGGCGAGCTGCACCAGCAGCGTGATACGAGCCCTGCTCGCGTCTTGCGGACCCCATGTCTGTTCCCTAACTTCTCGTCAACCAAGGAACGTGGTGTAATCATCAATGACCTCGACGTGGAACAGAGGAGGTAGCCTGAAGCTCCCATTGAGCGGCTCTAAAGCGCGCCCATCCACGGTCGGTCATTGGCCCTCGTGTGAAATATGGCTTCCGCGCTGCGAATCCCGCTTTGGAAGCGAAGGACGCGGTAACTCGATCGTTACGCGTCCACATCATCAGTGCTTCGGCCAGAACGGATGATGAAGTTGCCACACCAAAAGTTCTTCAAGCTCGTTTCTTGGTCCCACGAGAACTTCCGTTAAAAGTTTATCGCACTTGTCAAAGCGCTCAGCGAGGTGGATCTCGTGTACCCGCAATGCGGACAATACCTGTAGTGCTCACCCCTGGCGAAAACACTACAGATGACGAAGCGCTGTTTGGGCTCAACGGGTCCGAAAACTTTCATTCCTGCATAACCTGCAGTTGAGCCACAAGGAAGTGGACGCTCGTCTGGAGTGACACCTCCGCTTTGGGTTTGCCAAACGCAAGGCACGCCGTCGACTTTCTTCGGATTGTCGCCCTGTGACGTATGGGTTAATAACCCCTAATGCTCCCGTGAGCTCTGTGTCTTCGATTGCAAGAGCTCATGGCCAGTCTACTTCCCTGGCTATTTCCGGAAAGCCCGGGGCGTCGATGACGCGGGACGTCCTAATCATTCTGATCAAAAGCGTCCACGGCGCTTGGGCAATCTTGCCGAAGTGGCGCCTCAAACTCCCACGAGCTTTCAGAGTCGGGATATCCCCGCCACTTCACAAGATATTGGGTCTGACCCTGGTGACGACGTCGTCGTACTAGACGTTCCACGTGAAAGTGGACATCACAGTTCTCATCGAGAGGAGTCGGTGGTGGGCGGTGATGAATGGGTCGACCGCCGCCCAGTGACTCGTGATGCTCTTCAAGCCCTTGAGGACGAGGTCCGTCGTGATCGGCGCTCCGCTGAGCGTCATGCTGAAGTAGAATATCGCTATGCGGACGATTTAAAGCACGTCGTGCGCCGGCTGCCTCGCGTTGAAGACTACCGCGCTCTGTCGGAGCGATCCTAGCCGTAGAGCAGGCGAATGCGTCGCTGCGTGCGACGGTGGAGTGTTTGGCGCCATTAGAAATGGAAGTTGTTTCACTCCGTGCTCAGAATCAATTGCTGGTTCGGTTTCTGGGTGGCCGAGGGCCCGTGGGATCCGCTCTGGCGCCAACACTTCCGTGTTCACATGCAACGGATCTTGATACGGCTTGAGCAAACCCACGTAAAACACCGGGTGGGTGCGCATCCGTTTCGGAAGGTTTAGCGTGTACACCAGGCCCCGTTTGGCCACAACCTCAAACGGTCCGATAAACCGTGGACGAAGCTTCGTCATGAAGATAGCGGAGGCTGCAAGTGTATGCAGCTTTTTTGAATTTGATAAAAGCAGGTCTCCGACCTTACAGCTTTCCACTTTGCCCCTTCCTTTTTCATCTGCATATTGTTTCTGCAGGTCTTGGCTTCTTGGCTTTCAGCCATCGCATCGCGAGCGTGTCGTAGGATACTCAGTTTGGTAGACAAGAAGTCATGGATTTCTTTACGGATGTTGAGGGGGCTGACATCAGCTAGCCGTTCGGCTATTCCCCCACCAACAAGCCCTAAGCCATGGGATGGCGGCGTCAGCGGGACGCGAGGGTGAACCAGCCCGTTCACGTAGAACGGTGTGTAGCCGGTGGACGAATGCACTGCATTGTTTAGTGCAAACTTTACGAGTGGCAACAAGGCGCTCCAGCACCTCAGCGTCTCGGCGCAGATGCTGCGAAGAAAGTCTTCGACAACGCGATATACCCTTTCGGTCTGACCATCGGTCTGTGGATGATCCGCTGTCGACATATCTAACTTAGTGCCGAGCACTTTAAAGATAGTCGACCAAAGTTTTCCCGTGAAACAGTGTTCTCTATCATAGACAATCGACTCTGGGAGTCCGTGTTGTCGAAAAACACAATCTACAAACAGCGTTGCTGTACCTACTCCGTCGATAGTGTCTGACACCGCCGCCAAATGAGCCATCTTGCTCAACCGGTCGACACTTACCACGACACCCGTGTTG